TTAGGGGAGGAGCTATGTTGTGCATAGTTGACAAATGATAAAACTCAATGTCTGTTTTCTCAAGGACATTTTATTTATTCGCTAATTACATATGCGGATGTACGGTGAGGAAAAGTTGGTTCAAGAGGGTTTTGTAAGGCGCCCCAGAGTTCAGGGGTGTTATGTGAGATAAACAGAGTTCAAGGAGTTATGTGAGATAAACAGAGTTCAGGGGCGGTTAAGGGAAATTGACCGGCATAATTAACAGTCTTTTTTTGTGGCAGGTTTTCCGGTTAGTAGAGGCATGGGGCACTACTCTCAACCACCAAGCAACGGCGTGCAAACAATGCCGCATACGAGGGTAAAGTCCCAACTTAGTTTCTCAAGACAGAACTATCTCAAATATCCGAAATCGGCATTCCAGAGATGGGAGATAGTGTGGTTGGTGGGAACAGCTCAAGACGGAAACGGCGGTAATGTTGGTCAATCTACAATTTCGTACTCGATGGGCTCCTGGGATGATACCAATTCAATTGCTTTTTCAACCCCGAACAAAAGAGCAAAGGATAACGGTGATGACCTACTGACGAGTTTCAGCCATATTGACTCACAGGTGATACTATTGCATGTCCATGAATAGTTAGTAGAAGATCTAAATTTCGTCCTATCAATTGACGATAGACCCCCTTATTATAGCCCAATTGCACAGACCCCATGTAAATGTAATTCTGCTGATGCGGGTAGACCCCCTGAGTGAACTTTTTTGACCCTTTCATGAGAAACTGTCAAAAGTTACAAGGGGTCTATCCACACCAATAGAAATAGAGGTGTATATGCAATTAGGCTATAGCATAGGGGGTCTATGCATAAGTAATAGTTCATGATACCGATAAATTTCATAAATCCGCCATGAAATACGGATTTTGCACAAATAGATTATTTTTATTGGGAGCAAATACCAAAAACTTTCAAATCTACTGAAAAATACCGCATACTATTTTAAAAAAAAAACTATCCATGAATTGAATACAGTCAACTTCTATTTATGTTCTTTGAACTACCATGAATTTTCAGATGAAATCCCTCAACCATCATGAACTATACGTTAGTGCCAGATAACATTCACAAACTTTTAGATATTATCATAAAACTGCCATATAGTTTATCTGTAGCACGTGAATTTTTTCTGTTGATTTGAAAGTTTTGTGATATTTTTGTATAATAAAAATATTTTGTGGTAATTTTTTGCGAAGACCTCTAATTTTTCATGGTAGTTGTGTGAAATTTGCCTTTAAATTAATGGCCGTCTCCGATCATATGTCTAACACGAAGATTTTATTTCGGTGTAACTGTGTCCAGTTTAGCTTGCCAACAACATCACTAGAGATGGCTGCAGTCGAGAAACTCCTCCAAGCTCAACAAGACTCTGTTCCTTTCAAAGTTCGAGCTAAGAGGGGATGTGCCACTCATCCCCGAAGTATTGCAGAAAGGGTTAGTTTACACGTTACAGATCTATATCCATCTTGGTATAATGTCCTTTGCATCAGGAACCATCATATGAAGCATCGATTTATGTCACAATGATATTGCATTTGTCATTGAGATGTACTTTCCTATAGTAATTTAGAGATTTGGTTAACAAGTTTGAGACCGATGTTTTGTTTCCTTTTTCAGGAAAGGAGAACAAGGATTAGTGAGAAGCTAAGAAAGCTGCAAGAACTTGTACCTAACATGGACAAGGTAAGAAAAGATATGAAGAAAATTAGGCGTACAATTTCTATCATTGTAAAGAGATTTTCAGTTCTCAGTGATATATTAATCAATATTCTTTACTACTTCACGCTTGTATGCTGAACTTTCCAATAAATGTGATGGAAATCTTCATATATTAATTCTAGAACTGTTCATCTGTATTTTGCAGCAAACAAGCACAGCAGATATGTTGGATTT